TCATCACGGTCACCGATTCGCGGTTTTGTCACTGACTATTGTGGACAGAAACAGTTTTGCGCGACAATACTCGCCCTGCCACACCTACGTACACGACGAATACGAGCGACAACGAATGCCGGCGCGGCGTTTCCAGAGGAATGCCTCACGGGTGTCCATGGCATGCATTGCAAATTGCAGGTAGATTTATGGGCGAATCGGGACGTCCCGTAGCCCAGTTCCCATGCTTCTACCGCGTAATCGTCCGTGAAGATCTGTTTTTCCGTAAATAGTCCCTCTAGTAACGTCATTCGCTTCCTTTTTTTTTTTTTTTTACTTTTTTTCACATTCTTACCGCCTTTCGTTCGTTCCTTTACGTCATGTTTAAAATTTCCTCTTTTTTTTTTTTTTGAAATTCATGAAAAACCGACGATAAATCTTAGTCGATAATGCGTCGTTTTACCGATATCTAGATTGGAAATATCGAAGACACTTGAAATAATTCACACAGGTATGGTCTATTTTGCACGGACAAGATCGTGTGCTAATATTTGGCAAATCGGTTTAATATATTTATGAATGATGTGAAAGTGTTCGTTAAAGATTATTTATCTTCTGTCTTGAAGTACATATATCGATTTGTTATTTCTCTTTGATAAAATTTTCCAAAGATATAAAGACGTGCATTTAAATTCATTGGATTATATGATAGAGATATAGATTCGATAATCGGATTGAAACCGATACTGGTCGCATGCTTTTATAATACGCTTTCGCTTTATGGATTTTCCTTTATGGTTTTTCATATTTTGCGAATGTAAACGATTCGACATTGTAGAGAACAACGAGTGACAAGATGTAGATCGCAGATTGATTTTTCTTTTATAATCCTAAGATTTCGCATCGAATAGAATAATCCAGAGATTTTTATCTCGTACAATTTTATTTATTTTATTATCGAACCTGTTTCCAATCCTATGAAAGTACCTATCGCTACTGGCAATTTATGATTCGTTAGTCGTTCACTAACATTTCACTAACGATATCCTTGTCTAAACCGATCTTTGCCTGATTACAATCGACTTCTTCAAAGTAAAATTTCCTTTTAATATTTCCATTTCCCTTTCATCGCAATCGTCGTACGTCTTTGGTAAAAAGTTGTTTCGCTCGACAACATACGAAATCCTAATTTGTGTGAGAATTCAGTTGTCGTCTTAGCCGAGACAAGCACGCTCGTTTCATATGGTACAGGCTTGAACCAGTCAGTCGATCATTTGGGCGGAAAAAGGAAACGCCCATGGCTTTACCGCGGAGTGAATGGTCCGCAGAAGAGGCGTTAAATGCAACAAAACCATGACATCCGGTGGACACGGGTCGACACGTGACCCGTTCAATGCTCTTAAGCCGACCACTCGACGAAGACAGCCAGGACGTTTGTTCGAAACGTTGTTTAGCAGCTAAGGCGCTTTGTGCGCCAGTTTTTACCTTGCCTCTGCTACAATGCTCTTTAATTTCTATGTTTGACAACTGCGATTGTTAACCATCCATTGCGAGCCATTTCCACCGTGTTTTCAAACTGACTTTTCGATGGCTCGAATCGAAAAGGCTCTTTGTTCGCGCTCTAATCGTTTGCCACGATGCGATTCTCTTCCTCTTACCTTTTATGAAAAATAGTTGTTTCAATCCTGTGTAAAATACAAGATATTCAATGGTTCCTTTAAAAGCTTTCTCACGAGATTATGTCGTAACAAAAACGACGCTTATATTCTTTCTGTCGTGTTCTTCTTTTCGTTTTATCTTCCAATCGTCCGAAGAGATATTATTTATCGTAATAACTTTTTTATTACTCAACCTAATACGGAGTTGCGTATTCTTCGTAACGAGTTCTTATTGCAAGGAGCAAAGATAGATATTAAAATTACCATTACACCGTTTATTCGTAATCTTTCTATAGTAAAATAATAATTTCAATCTCGTTAGATTCGTTCGTTATCTCGATAAAGAAATATCGGGATATTTGTTAAATGAAAAATGTTTGATCGTTGAAAACTTATAAAAGCGTTTCACCTGCATATTTCTTTGAGATTGCACGATTGCGAAAAGCAAGCAAAAACTAAATTAAACAGCCATTCCTTCCTCAAACTTGAAACGAGCTATGAATTACGAAACCGTATAAAAAACTCTGCTTTTAAATTATTTCTAGACGATACTCGAACGTGAAGGGGACGTCTGAGAAAACAAGAAGCAAGCCCAAGTTGTAGATTCTCGTATTGTCGGGACGGTATAACGAAACCATTCTGGTCAGACGGTAGCGTAATACAAACTAGCCTTTCGGTTCTCCAAGTTTCAAGTCCGCGAACTCGCTCTTGTAAGACTGGCTCGTTGGTTCGCCTTCTTTCTATTTCGTGGTTCTCGTCTCTTCGTGCACACGGGACAGATTGTCAGACGGATAGATGAACAAATGGAAGGAGAAATAAAGCGGCGGCACAATTATCTTAATGGAGTTGTGGACACTGGTGAGCATTATCGATTCAACGCGTAAACGTCGCCACGCCACATTGCCTGTGCCATAATCCTTACACAACGAAGAAGCGAAAAAAATATTGTACTAAAAACTTTTCCTGTTCACCCGCCAACTATCAATGCCGGTCGAGAGTTAACCGCTCTATATCTCGTACGAATGGCGGTAAAATACGAGCTATCCATCTAATTCTTAGATCGTAAATTTTGTAGATCGTCGTTCATCGAAGTTTCGTTGCACCTAAAGTTTCTGTCTCGTAGTTTCCTCTTTCCACGAGTTAGACGATAAATAATCAGATATACAACGATAAATTAGATTCAAAGATTCTATTCGCCAAATTCGTACCAATCTGAAACGTGTAGGCGCAAATATACAGGATGGTTGGTAACTGTCGATACAAGCGGAAAGGGGGTGATTCTACGCGAAAAAAGAAGTCGAAAATATAGAATAACAATTTTTTTTTTCAATTTTTTCATCGAGACAACGATTTACGGTGAGATCCGTTATAACGAGACGCGATAAAGTGCACGCGTACCGAGCGAAAATTCATAGTCGATTTTCTCGAAAACAAAGCCTCGAACGAAAAATTGTTATTCTATATTTTCGACTTCTTTTTTCGCGTAGAATCACCCCCTTTCCGCTTGTATCGACAGTTACCAACCATCCTGTATCCCAGCCACCCTGTATAACGCAAGTGTAATTCCTCGTGAATCACTAAAATTCCATATCTGCAGGTGAGCACAGTGCGTTGCTTGTTTTATTAATTATTTTCTATTATCGTGTTGGTAAGCGTATTGGCAACGAGACCGATGTTCTTTCGTCTCGGTACAAAAGTGGCTTACAAAACGTTGGAATGAACAATCCACTCATCCGAACCGCCACGTGAGCTGCACGTGCCAGGAGCGTGCCGGAACAACTGGTGCCCTGTCGTTTCTGCCACCATGTGCGTCAATGAACGTGCACTGTGCACGCGTGTGTAA